CGCCCCCCATGGGTTAAAGAATGCTGGATGTCAGTCAACCTGAATGAGGCTTGGCACTGGACTAAAGAGGAGGACATGTGTAACTGTGGGATACTACTTGGCACATTTTGTTTTAAATTTAATACAGGTAGTAAACTGACAATTTATGCAGCACTTTACATATTGTACATGCACTTCAGTTACTGCCCTCAAGGTGTTTACAGTCTAAGGTCTCTATCTCCCATGCATACACTCATATACCAGCATTGATTTTAGACAGGAGCCAATTAACTTACCAGCATGTCTTTGGAGTGTGGGAGGAAACCAGAGCAACCAGAGGAAACCCCATGGAAACTCCACAGTTTGTTTTAATAAATAATAAAGAGCCTGAAGTTACCAAGGCCTTTTTTGTGTTTTTTGCACACGTTATAATCCACATTTTAGGCCTGAAAATTACTTAAAACCCCAAAACATTATATACATGAAAGCAAAGACCCTGTAGAATAAAATGGTGGCAGCTTCTATGTCTCACGATACTAGAGCAACTCTTTATCAAACCAAAACATTTTGTAAAAAATGCACTTAACCAAAACACAATATAATACACATTTTTCATTTCAGTACAGCGCTGCATGACGGAATAAATGTCAGTTAAAGTACCGCAGCGCTGAATACTGAAAAATGGCCTGGATGGGAAGGGGGTTTAACACCGCGGATGTCAACTGGTTAAAATATAAAAGATGAGGTTACGATAAGTAAATAAATACCAACATGCCCATGATAACAATTGCGTGCGTCCGTGAAATGACAACAAAATACGGCACCCAAAATTGCCTATAGGCGAAGCTTTAAAAGCCCGTACAGGTCATAAGTTTAGATATATCTATGAATATTGGCCCTAGAATTTATTGCTCTCACTCTGGCACAGGTGCGGATACCTAACGTGTAGCATGATCATCATTTTCGTATGCAGGCGCAACCGACGTGTGTTTACGATAATACGCGCACGCATGCTGGAGCAGGGGACTTTAAATTTTCCTTATTATTACATTTATTTTAATCTAATTTTTTTAACTTTTTTTTTTTTAACTTAATTGCTATCACATAAGGAAGCTTACAAGCCCCCTACTGTATGTGATAGCATACTAGTGTTGACAGGTTCAATTTGAGGTGATATTAGGTCTCAATTAGACTCCTAATGTCACCTTTCCACTCTAAAAAGGCTAATGGAATGCAAAATTGCGCTCCAGTAGCTTATTGCCCAGCTTCTGCAGGCGAGCAATGACAGTTGAGGGACCGAAAGAGCTGGGCAGGGATTGTTGAAAGGATAGAGGGACAGCGGAGCCTGGAAACAAGGGGGG